TGCGTTGAGTGATCTGATTGATAACGGAGGGCACAGAGCAATTGATGCTCGAGGACTTCTAGCAGCTACTCAAGAACCATTGTTTCTCGTCTCTATGTTCATTCTGCACATCTTGCTTGGTTCAATCAAGATACTCAGTGATCAATTAAAAGGTAAGCTCTTTCTATTATTTTGTAAAAGAGCAACTATTTCTTCTTCGTTTGTCATAGCTATCTCAATTGATTATACTAGTGCGAAAGAATTCATTCGATCAATAATTGACCAAATTCAATTTACGCGCAGTGAAACAACATTCAAGTGCTTAATCAATGATGTTACAGACTTTGGAAAGAAGCACAACATCAATTTGGATCAACCAACAAGATTCCGACGAAGAGCCTCGATACCTACCAGATTTAAAGACTCAGTTATCATTACAACAACTATTGGCCAACGAGATCGAGGAGACCAGTAATCATTCAAGTCAAATGAAGAAAAATTTCGACAGGAACTACTCTATTCACTTATTGACTCTATACTTCTTGAACTGAATGATCGTTTCGGCGATGAAAATATCCTTCTTCTTGCAAGCGTATCAGCTGTTCATCCGAACAATCAAAAGTTTTTGGATATTGAAGAACTCAAACCACTAGCATCTCATCTTACAATCGACATCAATCAACTCGATAACGAACTCAATGTTGTCAAACACTTTATTCGTGAGAAACGAACAACGATGAATACCATCAAAGATCTATTGACTGAATTGGCACCAGTGAATGAAGCATTTCCAGCAACAACTTCTCTACTGCGGGGTGCTCTATGTTTACCTGTCTCATCAACTACCTGCGAACGCAGTTTTTCTCGTATGAAGTTGATAAAAGCATATTGCCGAAACTCAACAGGCGGCGAGCGTCTCAGCGATCTTACAGTTTTAGCTGTTGAACGGCTTTCAACATTGATTTGGAAGAAACAGTTGATTTGTTTAGTACGAATCACCAAAATAGTCGCATTTTGCTTCGATAAAGTGAATGTAAATATTTTTGACCTTTTCTATTATCTTTGTAAGTTATTTTTGTTGTTTTGTGTATTTATGTAGTGTATATTGCTGTTTTTCTTTAAAATGCTGCTCTTAACATGAAAAATAGTTACTGAAAAATATATTAGTAAATATCAAGCAAGTACAAGTACAACATCTCGTAAAAAAAAGATGGAAGAAATTCAGTTTTTAATTGGTTCTAAAGATTCTTGGGCCGAGCCCCCCCCCCTAGCTTAAAATCCTGGTTACGCCGCTANAATGTTCCCATGAATGTTGACACAAATGTTTCAATATTACCAAGAAGTTTTAGCAATACTCATACAATTCAACTAAAACTCATGAGACAAATGAAAAATAAGAATGCTTTTATGTATGAAACAATCCGACCGAAAATTGTACATACAGCTATAAAATACCTTATTGGACAAGAACTATATAAAGATGAAGGTATTGTTATATCTAATGCTTGGATTAAGGAATATTTAAATGAAAGAGAAAATTTCATTGTCAATGATGAAGATAAAAAACTTAATGTGAATGAAAATAGGGGAGAAGTTTTTGATGATGACGACGATTGGAATGAACTTGACGACAAACCAATAAGTCCAGGAGCTATACTGAAATATTGTTAAATGATGAGACTAACAATCAAAACGATATCGGTATTAAGTTTGCTCCAGGAGAGAATAACAGACCGATATCTATTTTAATGGATTTGAAAGTTGACGAGTTAACATTTCTAAAAATTTATTGTGGAAAACAACGAAAAATTAAAGAAAATGTTAGATTGACTTATGCTAAAATTGCTAAGTCAGAATTAAGAATGTTTGATAGAAAATGTGATAGAGTGTCGAAACTATTTTTCACATATAAGAAACTATTGGGTTGATGCAAAAGTCTCCGCCGATTTTTTTAAAATTTTCTTAAAGTCCTCTAGCGCTACTATGCATTCGTGATTTTCACACATATGATACTGCTTGTGTCATACTATAAGATGACATTGGTAAATGTCCCAGTTCATTTACATTCTTCATTAAAACATGTCAGAGATTCCTATTCATATCGGACACTGCATTTTGTATGAGTTCCAATTAGGGAACAATGCAAGTGCTGCTGCCCGCAATATATGTGCTGCACTTGGGGAAGGTGCTGTTGCTGATCGAACGTGTCGAGATTGGTTTAAACGATTTCGTGAAGGTGATATGTCATTAGAAGATCGTCCGAAATCTGGACGTCCTCTCGAATCTGATATTGAACGATTAAAGGATCTGATCGAAGGCAATCCACGATTAACCACCCGTGACTTGTCAGCAATGCTCGGATGCAACCAATCCACCATCGATCGCCATTTGCATGAAATGGGAAAAGTTAATAAACTTGAAACATGGGTTCCACATCAACTAACCTCGGACAACATACAGCAGAGAATCACCATATGCAATTCTTTGTTGTCAAAACGCAACCGACAGCGATTTCTTCAGCAGATAGTCAGTGGTTATGAAAAGTGGGTTCTATATGTCAATCATACGCGTAAGCACCAGTGGGTAAATCCTGAAGATTTGCCCGAATCAGAACCAAAAAGCGACCTGCACCCAAAAAAGGTGATGTTATTGATTTGGTGGGGCTGCGAAGGGATAATCTACTGAGAACTTCTACCTCCTAATACTACGATAGACTCGAAGCTTTACTGCCAAAATTTGAAGGTTGCTCTACAGGCAAATCGTCCAGAAAAACGAAAAATTCGATTGCTTCCTGATAGTGCAAAACCTCATGTCTCAAAATTTAGCCGCCAGAAGCTGGAAGAAATAGGGTGGGAGGTCTTACCCCATCCACCATATTTACCAGACTTAGCACCATCTGGCTATCATCTGTTTCGATCGTTCCGCAATCATCTGGTCAAAAAACATTTCGATGACCAAGCCCACCTAAAGTCGGACCTCGAAACTTTTTTTGTCTTTACCTAAGAAATTCTTTGAAGATGATATTCTGGATTTGCCTAAAAGATGGGAGTATGTAGTAGATAACAACGGTGTATACGTTGTTGATTGATGATATTTTCTTTCAATAAAATCTTGAAACCTAGAAGAAAAAAATCGGCGGAGACTTTTGCATAAACTCAATAGAAACTGAACAATCTCTTTATTTTTTAGAGGCAGAGCTAATCAAGTGCGAATTCAACGAAAAAGAAGAAGAAATAGTTGCCCCGACTCTAGCTCGATCGTTTGGCGAGGATTGCTCGCTCCTACTATAATTAATGAAACACAAACAAAATTAACCGAGGAAGAACATCAAATTTTTAAGTTAGGCCTTCAGTTTATTTATAATGATCCTAAAACAGCATCACGACGATGTGCAACTGAGTTGACTATTCTTAAAAGTAAAATTGAAGATGGATTTTTCGAGAAAAAAGTTAGTCCCGGCCGATTAGTCGAGCAATTTATAGCTGAACTAAATATTATACTTCAAAATGTACATAATACGCCTATTAGTAATACATATCGACAACAGAAACAGTAGCATAAAATTATTTCTTATGTTAAATCATTTGCAAGATAAAATTGGTCTATGTAGAGTCAACTTTTAAAGTCTATGTTAAGCTTTACCAGTTAGTGCTTCCATATTTAATGCAAATAAATGCTTCGATACGTCATGATGGACATTTTGATGAACAATACGATGTGCTAAACTTTTAACAATAGCTTTTTTTCCAACACCCTATTTAAAAAAACATACATTTATCAAGATTTACTAGAGTAAATTCAATTCTTACTGGTGCTCCAATTAAAAGAACACTATTTTTTGTTTGTCGTAGTAAAATGTTAATACATTCACTAATAATTTGATTAAGACCAATAACTGAAATATTAAAAAATAATTCTTTTTTTCTTTCGATAGAATTATCTTACTGTAACCAAATTTTCCTTTTTCAGCATCGGCAATAAAATCATGGCAATAGGTGTTCAAAAGATGGTTACCCTAAACAAATGAAATAAATGAATTCAATTCGACTTCTAGTAAGTATAAGTAATAAAAGTAGAAAAAAACAAATTATTGAATTGGATTTTCAAAACTATCAAGATACAACGATGATGCTGAATTATATTCAACGCTTAGGCATAATCTAATTATAATTAGATTTACTTTCTATATGTGTACTTTGGGGACATTCACATTTTGGGAATGGAAACAAGCATTTAATAAATTTCTTTACTTATTAAGTCAAATTGACAATCTCCGGAATTATTTTCTATTGAAAAAATGAACAAAAGATAATTTGTTCTATTTATTATAGATTATTTTATATCTTCAGACATTTTTCATCTAGTCTGGTTCATATTAGTACCATAGAAAGAAGCAGATCCTTTTGAAAAATGTTATTTAAACTCGTAGATAAAAATCCTTAAAAAACTAATTATAGATCAAAGTAGATTTCGTCTACTTAATAAATTTCTTTTTATCATCAAATAATATAAATAACTGAACAGAAAAAGAGAAAACAATTCTTACCTTAGAATTTATTGCCGATACAACAAAATCTAAGAAGAAAAACATTATATTTTTTATTAATATGATCAATTAAAAATTCAATTAAATGCATGGAACTATTGCAATAAGTTAGATTTAATATAATCAGAAAAAAGAAAAAAATCATTTCTTGTTAAAATTTCTTTTTTGAAATATGATTAATAGATGTCAATTTCCAACAAAAATAATTAGTCACTATCAATGCAAAAATTTTTTTTATTTAAGAATTAGAAAATAAATTTAAAGGATATTTTTTTTCTACATCGTTTTGAAAAGCTAATAAAATGATTTTTCCAATTTTGTTTTTCTATTTTGAATTTTTAAATTTATTTCTCGATACACATTGTGGCTACATATATATAAATATATGCGTATGTATATAGAAAAATATTTGGCAACAACAAACCCGAATCGTCATAATTTTGAAGCGTTTTGTTTCATTTTCATGATGTTTTCTATTTGTAGATACCATGTGTATTGGGTATTGTCATCTGACCTTAGATTTTTGATAAACACATAAGCCAGATGAACATCATTAGACCAATTACACCATTCTACATATGCGCATCCACTTTTTGACAAACAGTCGTATTTTAGGCAAACCCCAGGTGCTTCATATACCGTTTCACCTCGTTCTCCTATAACAATAATATAACTGATTATTAAATATTCAAAAAAAAATGTTTTGAAGTAATCATTCAAAGGCCTGTTTTATAAATTTTTCATAAATGATTTTAAAACTTATTAGAATTGCTAGTTAAAATGAATAAAAAAAATAAAAATAGTATTTTACTTGCCTTTTTCGTCATCTTCATCAGACATGACGTACGTCACCGGTTGAATAATTTTAACTGAATTTTTTAATTTATAAAGAAGATATAGTATATCTTTATCGTTAGTTAATTCCATTACATTGGAGACAATGTCTTCATTCAGTAAAGAAAAAGCCTTTCGTGTTAGTATATGTTCATCGAATCCACCACTAGCAATCAACAACGTGAGATTATTGCTTGTGTGGCCTATCGATGACAATGAAGAGACCTTCAAAAGGTTGCTTAAATTAGATGATAATTTTCGAAGAAGTCTAATAAGTAAGATTTCAACAATATCATCTTGACGCTCATCAAGTTTAGATCAATGCAATAGAAAACAAAATTCTTTATCTTCTATCGTTCCATCTAATAAAATCCCTAGACATGTTGTCAATCCATTCGTTTCTTAAGTAAAATAACTAAGTTTTGAGTGTTCCATGGTAACATCATCATCATCATCATTAACACCAACATCATCATATTCATTGTCTTGATTCATAGTGAATTTCGATAGAATCTAAGAAATATAAATAAATAATTATTTTTTTTTACAATTTTAAAAATACAAATATTCTTTGAATTAAAATAACAGGTAACTTTGCATTCTTTTACTTGAACAAGTATATACAATATATGTTTGTATTTTAACATAAGAAAACTATGGAAACGATATATAGGCCTCTTTAAGTTAACTACATAAAGAAAAGATGATTCATTTCAGTCAATTTTACCCAACTCTGCCTATCGATTTGTCATTGTTTGAACTATTCAATATGCGAATAATTACAAAGAAACAGTCTTTGCTATTGATTTTCCTTTTATTTCTCATGTACTTAATTATTTTCCAAAGCTAGGATATTAGAAATTAAAAAAGCAAAAGTATTTCAACGTTATGATCAATCAATTATCTGAGATGATATTGTATTTTCTAATTAATCTATATATCGTTTTGTTTTATTTATTCAAGGAATTCAAAATAAATTTTATTGTTAGACAATATGAAGTTCAAAAACAATCTTTTAAGCTTCTTTCTTTTTATAAAAAATCAAAATAGATATTTTATCCAACAGATCAATAGTTATGAAGTTAATTCTATGTTGGAATAGATGAATTCATGATAAGGCTTAGGACATCTAATAAAACTGCATAATGTAAATTTTTTAAAAAGTTTTAAAGATTAATACAGATTATATTTTGAATGCTGTGTCTCATCAGAAATGGACAAGTCAAGTCACTTTTGACTTCAGAAAATTTTCAAATGTTTTGTGCTTTGACTTTGAATAGTCAAAGAAACTTTTTGACAATCCATGAGCTGACTTTGTTTTCTTCGTTTTTTCACTTGACTTTTGACTCAAAAGTTGATAATTGAATGCATGTCAACTCCGATTTATCTCGTCAGCTAAAATTTATATTCGATCGGAATCACGTCAAGCTATATTTTTTATTCTATAAAATGTACATTTCGTTAATAATATTTGAACATAATTATTAGTCGACAACAACACTTCAAACATGCTTTAGATGACAAACAATAATTATCAGAGTTCTAAAATGTTTTTGTAGATATTGAAAAATCAAAAATTTCATAATATTAAATTTATTAAAGATGATATTATAATCATTATGTTAGGGATAATGATAAATGCTCGAATAGATTCATTTTTATTGATCGATATAAATAATAATAAAAAACTGATGTAAAATTTTTTCGATAAATTCATAAGTAAATCATGAAATTTGAAAAAATGTTTAAGCAAACACTTTGAGACTTAACTTGGTTTCAGTTGGAAATCTTTATTATGTATCAATGAATTGACTTCAAATGTTGTTTTTCGTTTACCTACAACTTCACTTCATCTGACTTCAGATTTTCTAAAAGAACTGGCTCTCATTCAGCAACGTATAATGGGCAATATTTGAATTTCAAGTAACAGCCGATGACGAAATAACAACTGAAATTTTCTTATTCTTAGTTTCCGACTCAATATTATTATTATTTAATTTGCATAGTAATTTTTGGCAGTGTTCGCTGATTCCGACAAAAATGGAATCGATTTAAAATAAAAAATTGGAACTGTCGATAACTCAATAGATACGATAACTTTTGAGCTGTGCTGATGAATCCTCTTTTTTTTATTTTCATGATTAAACATGTAGAGTATTGTTTTCGTGAAGTACTGAAATGTATCATGTCGTCTGTATTCTCAACCATTTAATTTAAAAAAATTCTCAAAATCTGTTTAAAATTGTGTATTCATCTGATGATTTAACAGTTTTAATTCCACATGACATTTTAGGAACCTTTTTTCTCATTTTTAGCAATTGAAATCGAGATTTCAACTAATTTTTCGAACTGTCAAACTCTCCCTTTAAGTCTCTAGTTTGATGTGAAAGATGTAATAATAATAATATATTTCCATTTTTTAATCATAATTTCTGATAATAATACTGCCTTTATACATAATTCTATGATGAAAGAAAATAACTGTATCGTTATGCATTATCCTATTATTTGACATTAACGATAGAACATACAATCGGTATAGACAACATACTGGATCAATCGATTGATTAAATTTAAAAAATTAAACTCAGCAAATGTTATTGAATATTTTTTTAGAGATAAAGATTGATCATTCCGACCCCTCATCTGAATACATCATTGATTCTGAATAATCGTTCATATGCTTGCTATGCTTCCGATATGTTTCCCTTCATCGTCTGTCTACCCTTCAATATTTCCACGATACATAAAAATTCAAATTTCATTAATATTAATTTAAGTTTAGCTATTAAATAAACCTCTAAAATAAAATTTGACCAAAATGAATTGAATGAAGTACAATATTATGTGAATTTGTATTTTGAAATTTTACAACTTGCTTTTTTAAAATATTTTATGATTAATATATTAGCTGTGAAGTTTGTATTCCTGAGTATATAATTTATTTTTCATTGATCACATTGAGATATACTTTACCATCAAATCAAGTTTATTGAATACGATAATACATTTACACATATATTTTTTGTATGAAAATAGTTTTTAAAACTAAAACCATTCAAATGACATTTTAATATTCAAATATATTTGTACGAAAACAAGGTTACATTGATGACCTACATTTAAAGTAGAACGTATCCTAGTCATATATTTCATTTTTCAAATTTATTTGATAAATATTTAAACGATTGAATATGTAAATACTAACATCGTAAATTAAACTTGGAGTTAGATGATATTGAAGCTTAAGAAAAATATAAAACTCGCCGGCATTGATTTTAGAAAATTTAATGAAATTAATATTCAATAAAAAATTATTAAATTTATATAAAAATACTTTATTATTGTTATTTATTGAATAATCACAAAGAAAACAAATTTAATTATTAAGAAGTCTAAATTACATATACGTATATGTAATGTTGTCTACAGAGATAAAAATCAAAACCAAAGACGAAATCTTGATATTTCTATATGAAGTTGGCTATTAGGAAAACGTTTTTGAACCATAGAACGATATGGTTCTACTTTTTCAGGATCAGTGTACCAATAAATATCGAGATAAACGAATTCTTTCAATTGTTCGACCAATTCACAAAGATTTTGTTCAAAGAGAGTAACATGTTGAGCTAAAAATAAATCAATTTTTTAATCATTTATTTAAAATTTGTCTCTTGTACATACCAATTGATTCAGGTTTTCTCAAAGATAGTATCCATCGTCTACACAAAACATGACGTAAGAATTTTTTCTTATAGCTTGGTCGAACTTAAACAAACAAAAATATTCAATACTGATTTTGATTACGAATAAGTTTCTCAATTCAAGACATTATTTTATTATTTATCAAACAAATGAATAGAAAACAATTTAAGGGAAGCGGGGGGGGGGGGGAGGTGGTATTTTCCAACATCGATGTCTTTAATTTTTTAGAAGAATCTCAATGTTTGATCGTTTTCTCAAACTAATCATTTATGTTATCAAATATTCAATATTATAAAAGAAAATGAAGGCATTATATTTTGATTGAAATATGACTGTTGAAGAGAACTATTAAAAGACGAATTTTAGATTTACGGACTAGAAACATATTCGATGAAAAAATTTCTCTATCCAGATTCGGACTTGGTCAAAAGAGATTTTTTGGATCCAGACACGACCGGGTTTGGATAGTTTTGAACGGCTATAGCTTTGACACTTTTGTTTTCGATCGGATTTATCTTATGTGATTTATTAAACCGAAAAAATTCAGACAATGATAATTAATAATATTGTTGAAATTCAACGTAACTGATAAAATGAAATCCAATATCTTTGAACGAAGTTTATTTCGATAGTCATTAAAGTATTCAAATAGATAACTGGTAAATTTCATAACAGTTTAGAGATTATTTTAAATAATGAAATAGAATTTAAAATTTAAAGTCAAATGAAATGAAACAATCATTTATGAGCTAGTCCACGCAAGCGACGCTCGACTCATATAGGGGAGTAGGCAGACTAAGAGTAGCCCACGAAGCCTGCAGGTAGAGCCCATCGGGTTGGACCCAGACTCTATCCGGGCCCGGGTTCTATTTGTGAAGCGTTTATCAGATTCAGATGAGAAAAATTCAATGAAAATGCTAAGAACACAGTGAAGCTCCGGGTCCGGGCCCGGATCTGAAAATTTCGGACCTGACGGGCTCTACCTGTAGGGAGGTTGGAGAATTTTTTCGAAAACGTTTTTTTCATTTTGAACTGATAATTCTATGGGAGTCTATAGAGGATTGAATGCTGATTTCTTCTAGATCAAATTTATCTTATTTGATACAACTGTTCGGGGAATTTCTAAGCCAACATGAGACATTTCCTACAGAAAAAGGCCCACTTTTTAGTATTTTTCAATAGGTCTCCTAGGGCCATTCTTAGAGATCCCACGCAAATTTTTCTATAGAGTTGTAACCCATAGAGAGTACCTCTAATTTTTACATATCAGCTCCCAACGCGATCCATATTTTGGGATATAACCTATCCTGAAATCTCAGTTTTTTTTCAAAGATCCTTTTTTGCCAGGACTCCTCTGACCAAATGGAACGATATAGAGAGATGACACTTTTTTGAGCGATACATCTTTTAATGTTCTATCTATCATCAGATATTTCCGGACTGTATCTCATTCCCATTGAAGGTTGTCAAGCATAAAAAATACCAGAAAAATCAACGGTTCAAAATTTTTTAAAGCGGCTTGCGACAAAATTCATTAAACTCTTTCCTCTTCAATATATCTCAAGTTGAGCAGGATCAGACGTGGCTTACATGGACTGGCTCTTATAGTACATGTCTAACAATTGAAATAAAAATAAAACCAAGAAAAGTTGAAATCTTTGAGAAAAAACATCATATAAATCTATTGGAAATATCGAAATTTACGTATTCAATATAAATATTTATGATTGAACAAAGCAATTTTCATTCCAATTTTAAATCTTCTTTATCTCATAGAAAGTTTACGTGATTTTAATAAGAAAAATTTGTCTTTCCAAAAAAAAACTCAGAAAGGAAAAGATTTTATTTGATTTTATATAGTTACTTGATGTCCATGGAAAATCATCATTTCGCCATAAACGTAGTGTTTGCAAATATGGTGTATAAGTACTGAGAAGATATATCAGATTTTTTCCATCATGAATTAACTTATTTGAACCAATATGACAGCTATGAAGGCGAAATTCGGCATGTCGAACTGTAGTTAATGCGCTTTTTCTTAGTTTATCAAATGCCTAAAAATAAGAAAAAACAAATCATTTTGAATTATCAAATATTTTATATGAAAAAATGGCACTTAAAAGGGAACGTGTTCAACGGATGAAAAGCTTTTGAGTTCAAACTCTGTGTATAGGGTAGACTTCAGCATGGTACGACGAAATTTCCAGAACGATACAGTCATTCATTTTATTAATATCCATCTTGTCATAGGCACTGGATGACACAAATGAATTACATAGTAATTCAAAAAGAAATGAATTCTATAATAATTCTGCTCTGAATAATTTCTAATGTTGGTTATAATAGGATCTACCAGGGTCTACAAGGACAACACGGGTATGGGTGCCGTGAAGGGAGTGTCCGTCTCTACTTTCACTTTAACCCTGGCTGGTACATATATTTATAAATATACAGAGGCGACAAAAATGATTCGTACGGCTTTTATAAGGATGATATTTTTCATTCTTCTTGATTTAAAAAAAGCTAATTACGAAGTCATTAGATGCAGGAAAATGAGTGACAGGTTGGTACCATTTTTCTCATAATTCAGTTCTGTTGAATAGACAACGCTATTTAAAAACAATGAATATTTTTTTGAGATATTTTTATGAGAAAATCGCAAATTGAAACTTTTCTAAATTATTATTTCAAAAGTTTGTAATAACGAGATATTTTCTTTTTTGTTTTTGTTTGGTAGCTATAATGAAGACACTCACGAAACAACTTCAATGACAAGACTTCTTTTTTCAGATAACAAACAAGAATGTTCTATTTTTCCAAAATATCAAATTATATTTTTAAAAGATTCATTGTTTTTACATAGCATTGTCTATTCAACAGAACTGAATTATGAGAAAAATAGTACCAACCTGTCACTCATTTTTCCTGTATCTAATGACTTCGTAATTAACTTTTATTTTAATCAAGAAGAACGAAAAAGATCATCCTTATAATAGCCCTACGGATCATTTTATATAAATATATAGATGCAGATATCTTTGTTTATTTCTTCATGCATTCATAAAATATGTAAATTTCGAACTATTTTTTAATTCATTTGTGACATGAGCTCGCCATTGGCTTAGATTCAAATAAAATGCCTCAAATTCTACACAGAAAAAGTAAGATGATTTATTATTCTGAGAATTTCGTCATACTTTGCCAGAGTCCACCTCCTACAAAGAGTCTGAACTCAAAAGCTATTGGTCACTGGAAAATGCTCCTTTGGTTAGAGTAAAAACAAACTTCAGTAATAATTTATATGTAAAAACAGAATAGCATCTAGACATTTTCAAAATCATTTTGTTTTGGTCCTGGCTTCTGTCAATTTTTCACTTGTCTCTATTCGATTCCTGTTAGAGATTTTGATTGCTTCCGGACCATACTTTCTCCTACAAGCCGAGTAATTTTCCTAACGATCTGTATTATCTAGACAGAAAGAATAAAGTCTAGAAATCGTATTTCACCCGTGTCTACCTGTAGTCATGGCTCGGTACTATTGATCATTTCCATTGCACAAACCATAAGCGGATCCAGCGGAGGAGCATCAGGTTGGGGGGGTGGGCGACACTACTCGTTCTCGTCTCTTCTCGCTTGACATTACGTTTTCTGTGTGATTTTTTCCTTGGAAATTTTGCATTTTTGTTTTACCCACACTCCACTTTCGCTTGTTCACCCGTTAGGAAATTTCTGAATCCATCCCTAGCACAAACGACCTCTTTCACTCTTGTCTATGCATTTGTACGTTTGAGCCCCGACAGTCTAGAATCAAGTGGATAAATTCTCGGTTGATGTTACTTGTATATCTAGTGTGGTGGAATTCACTGGCGGTCTGTGTGTTTGTATATATTTTAACTGACACTCAGCATCCACATTCATCCTCAGTTTTATATAGAATAACATTTTATTTTATCTAAGAATTGTATGTATAAAAATATAATTAAATAGATATTTACATATTTAATAAGATGTATAAACCATTCGAATTGTTCAACTCGAAGATGAATCAATTGAATTGGCATTGAAATAAGATGTGCAAGTACTTCGGCACGTAATTTAATGCGATACATATCTTGGTCATGCGATGCTACAGATATAAAAGAAACATTTATGAATTTAATAAAGTTTTAAATTAAAAACAGATATATGAATATTGATTTCAATCCTTTTTTTATATTTAAAAATTAATTTGAAACTCTTCATACATTCTTAAAAGATGTTCATTACAATAAAAATGTAACCAGCTGTTCTAAGGTTTTAATCTGCAAACCACAATTTGACTATCATTTAATTCAAATTCATTATCTTAACAAATCTGACGTATAATACTTTATCCGAATTCTAATAGGCATTTCACAATCCATGTAAATTTGAAAACATTCTTAAAAATATGAGAAGAAGAAAATTCACTTTGAATTAAGGCCATTTTAATAAGAAATATAAGCAATTTTTTATCATTTTCTCTACCAATTTATTTAGTTTCTTTTTTTATTATTATCATCTCTCAACAAAAGTAAATAGTTTTCTAAATAATATCCACTGTTTAAATAAATTGAAGGCTAGATGAAACAAGTGAATCACTGGAAAATCGATAAAATAGAATTATAAAGTATTCATGGAAATTATCTCTGATTTATTCGTGAAAAATGTCTGCCTAACTTTCTTCAAAATATTCTTTTTATGACAACGTTCATAATAAAATCATGCACGATAAATTGATTTATAACTAATTAATCATTATTTCGTGTATTTTTCAAGAGTTACATAGTCAAGATGACTATTAAAAACAAAACTATTTTAATTGATACTTGAATATTTTGATAAGTATGTTCTCGATAAAGCAATATTTATATTCAACAGATAAAAGATTTAAAAAGTTACTATACCTGACGACTGAACAGCTAAGTTATAATAGAGGTATACCTTAGTTTTTCATAGGAAAACTGATAATAGATTATAAGAAAATTATTTATCATCACGATCAATCAATCAAAAATAAGATATAAAAATCAACGAATTCAAATGGCACGATTGAAAGCAAAACAAATGCTTTATCTTGCATCTTAAAAGAAAATGAAAACTTACTTTGACCACGATAGATGCCCCTTCCAAAATCAAGTCTTGTAACATGTCGTAAATGAATATCTTGAAGTCTGCAATGCTTTAAATCGAGTAATGATTGTAAAAATATGTCATGGTCTGGCTCATTATCTAGTTCGTGTGTTCCTGTTCCTAGAAAAAAAACAATATTCTACTAAATTAAATTTCAAAAGTTCTCCAAACAATTCTATTTATAAAATGAATCAATATTACTAAACAGTAGAGGCCGTCGCGTCCACGAACTTTGAACCAGGACTCGGATGCGACGAATTTAACTTTTTCGGACTTTGACCTGGTGAATTCTACATTTTGACAGTCGGAGTCCATTGGGTTCGGGTAATTTTGAAGGACTCTAGAGGGATACTGTTACGAAATATGATTCAGCCTAGAAGAATCTCTAAATTCTCTATAGATTTACGACGATACTAAAAAATATTTATTTATCTGGACTTTACTCCCGATTATATAAATCGTATTATTACTATTTCTTTTTTACTTATATCATATTGTAGAATGTTTTTGATTTTTTTATCTTCATATTTTATTGTTCGAAATGAAATGATGATATAAGAAATAATCTTGACAATGATAATTTTCTCGTTTACTTGTTTTTCTCAATTAATGATCTTCTTAAAAAATTGCTAAAATTATAGAATATTTACCCATTTTAAATTTAATACAATCTATATGAGGAAATAAAACATCAAATTGTTTGAGAAATAAATAAATTGATGGACGTAAATCAACATTTATATATCTGGCATGTTGCAAATCGAAAATATTTGGATAATCTCTGAAAAAAACATAAATTCAAATATTTTCTTTTTCTCAAAAATAAATCATCTTACATAATACCATCGAATATTTTAGGTTTATTTATTATTGTTGATGATAGATGTTGATGTGACATAATTGGATCAAAGTAACAGTTTACATTTGTCGATTGATCATTAAAAACATATTGATCAGTTTTAAATGAATCAATGATTTTCTCAATATCATTTGTTGATAATAAGAATATACATTTTGATACAATATAGAAATCGAAATTAATTAAATTAATTAATATATCAGGCATACAATATTTATGAACAAAATGTCCATCAATAACACAATTTATCGTTTTTGATTTTTTTAAATCGAGATGAATCTTTAATTTTTCAATATAACTCATTTGATTAACAATCCATTTTAAATAAATTAATTCGTCATTGTCGTGAACTTCACTTTTTAAAGAAAAAGATTTTAATTTTGGTATCTGCAATAAATAACTATTGATTAATTTTATTATACTCTTTGAGAAATCGAATCTTAGTTTTAGTCCTTGTCCTCATATAAACAGTATTTATTAAGTATTGATGATAGAAAATATCATACTAATAGTGATCTATCAGCAAATCTCTTACAGAAATTTCAAAAACAAATATCTCATTTAAATTTCTTCATTAATTTGCATTTTATTCCGAAAAATCTTCTAGACACGTATAATTAGGAATGTATCAATTCCAATTCTTGGCTTGGAATTGACGTTGTTTAGAAAGATTTCAATATAGTATAAATGTGCACATGATTCTCTACGCATTACCATAAAAATATCTTCGGATATGAAGAAAAAAATATTTTACACAAGGACAGAGTACGTTAAGTGATGAAACCGATACCCTATCGAAATTGAGTTTCATTTCTTTCCCACTAATAGAGTTTGATGACAGGAGTCGATTGCCGTTTGAATTTTTCAGTTAGACTTCATTCTTATTGTACACGGGTGGTTTTAAATTTCAAATTATGCATTCAATATGTTGTCCTGCTTTCGTATATTATTCTGAAAAGTTTCTTTTCCGTTTTCAATACCTATTTATTTGAATTATATATTAAATCAAAGCTCATTCTTTCCGCTATCGAATGGTATACAAAACAAAGTATGAGAATGACGATATAGTATTCGCTTGACGAAAGATAATCACGAAAAAATCGAGTTTTTTTTTGTTTTGTTTTTATTCAACAATGATAATATCATATTTCATCGATTTTACCTTATCTCGCCAATTGACAACGCTTGGCGAAAATCTTTTTATTTGTTGTTCATATAAATACCAATTCTTGACTAATGAACATGCAAATTGAACTGAAAGAATTTCCAGAGAAGGTACGCGTTCAATAATTTGTTCAAGAAAAACACCATAAATTAACCGAATACGTAAACAGCGAAGACTTGTGCAATAAGTAACTAATTTATTGTTAATTAAATTTAAATAACGGTTTGAAGATAATGAAAAACATGTATGAATACCAATAGAATCATAATCATTTGATATATCAAGATCGAGAGTAGTTAATTGACATTTTACAGAAAAAAGTTTAAACACAAATTCTTTTAGCTTCAATATCAAGTTTGATTCTATCAAATTTCGAAAATAAACAAAATCTATTTAAACAAGATTTAAATTTACCTTCTCCAAAACGACTTATTCCAGACCATTGTTCACACAGATATAATTGAATTATATCTTTATCAAATGTTAATATTAATTCATTTAGTTGATATTGAATAAGTAACGATAAATTTTCAATTAATCTTTCTGTAAAATAACATTGAGTAAGAATAAGTCTTTTCAAATTAATAAAACGAATATTTTTTTCATGGATTGAAAGATAGGTCTCGGTGACTAATAACAATTCCATTTTTATTCATAGTAAAATTTCAAATGAATAAGAGAATTAAACCGTTGATTTAATGACCAAAATGATTCAATCATTTTAAACCATCTTATATGAGATAATGTCACAAGAAGAATTTCATCTGGAAGATTTTCTAATCTACTTAACATGTTATCTAAAAAAACAAAGAATCAATTAATTTCTGTTTTTACATGAAAAAAAATATCATTTTCTTTATAACAACATATACTACTCGCTAAAAGTATGCCTCCCAGGATTTCACAAGAAGTTCTTTGATTGATTTAGAGCTTTTGAATCTATTTTTGTTATCAATTAGTATTACGTGGCAAATATCTTGAAAGACACAACTTCAAACAAGGATAATGCCGAAAAAGAAGTTCCAAGGGTGTGGTTCGTCTCTTGAACTACACATCCATATCATCAAAGTAGTCTGGCTCAGTTCTGTTTTGAATATCATATTTGTGTTTGTATATGTTTCGATTTGGTGCTTTATATTTCGAATTTAAAGGTTTTTAAGGACACATTTCTCGCGTTTTAACTAGACAAATGAATTGTTTACAAGCGGTCATAATGATAATATCAAATGTCCGCTATGAAACCATACGTAGAAGATGAACCAGATATAAATAATTTAAGTGAGATCAGATTTGAAGGCATCAACGTATAATTCGATATATCCATATAATCATAACGATAGCTAAGTTGAATTGAACCAGCAGATTTGTGCATTAACATAATTCGAGTTGAGTCACATTTATCGATTCTACTTATGATCTCATCATTTGGTGCGCAAATACTAAACGAAACAAGTTTATTCAGAGTCTTAATTTGTTTAATGACATTTTCAAGTTTCGTTGGCGAACTATTTGCAACCAATTCACATGACTCAAGATTAGTAAAATAGTGTCGGCGAAATAATAAATCAATAACAGATGTATAATCGCGAATTTTATCATCAATTTTTATCGATAATTATAGAGAACAATAATACGAAGTGGAATTGCTTGTAACATAGAAGAAATACGTTTATCTTAACGAAGTGAAACTAGTAAAAATCTCCAGTACATATAAATAATCAAATATTTCGTGGAATATTTCATTTGATAAATCTTCGAAATGAGTATATGCATTCATTTATACAGATAATAAGAATAAACAATGATAAAAATCAGTGACCTAGTTTAGTCGTCTGCAAAAACTGTATGAAATGGCAGATATGTTATATACTTTAAAATAAACAGCCTACAAACAAGACTGACGACACAATGAGAAAATGAAGCTGACCTTTGATTCTATTCTGATGTATGAAAGAAAAATAAGAAAACATAGGTTGTGAGTATGAGTGTGAGCTTAGGCAAAATTCAATCACTCGTCCTGCACACCCACAAGTGCAGTAACTCAATTGCCATTTTCACGATTTTGGTCAGCACTCTTCAGTATTATGATCATTTTTATTGGTCTTGATAGTCAAGTTTGACTAATATATGTCAATTGTTTTAGTAACTAACATAAAAAGAATAAATGTTGTTTTTTAAGTTTTTTACAATGGGAGGATTTATTACAGCATGTGTTGATGAGTGGCCAATTTT